GATGCTCTTCCGCATGTGGACAACTACGAATAAGAGGAAGACGAAGAAGAAGAAGACTATGAAGACGAAGAAGAAGAAGAAGACGACGATGAAAACGATGAAGACGAAGAACACGAAGAAGAAGAAGAAGAAGAAGAATACTTGGGACAATCGCCTTTGACTCTTGCGTCCTCTCGTGTCAACCACCGAAGAAAGCTCTCTCTCTCTCTCTCTCTCTCTTTTTCTATTTCTCTCTCTCTGCGCTTGAGCAACGCCACGGAACTCCCCTCCTCCTCTCCCTCCACCATCAACATCACCATCACCTTTTCCTCCTTCTTCTTCTCCTCCTCTTCCTCCTGCTCCTACTCCTTCTCCTTCTCCTCCTCCTCCTCCTCCTCCTCTTCCTCTCTTACTGCTGCTGTTCAACCTCCTCTTCAACTGACTCTGGATGACCGCTCGCGATCGCTCGCGATCGCATGAGCATTCGAATCACGAGGGCCTTGCGAGCACGTAACAATTTCTGTTCTCGGGACTGGAGCCACTGGATCGTCCCTCAGCCTCATCCCCCCTCTTCTTCTTCTTCTTCTTCTTCTTCTTTTTCTTTCCTATCGAGACTCTCTCGATTATCATCCTCCATATTCTTTCGTGCCTTCTCTACGATCGATTTCACCTTACGAAGTCGGATTTCTCTCTTGTTTACTTTCTTTATAAACATTTATATATAAATGTATGTCTGTATGTACATTTGTATGTATCTATGTATATATGTATGTACGCATGTATGTATGTATGTATGTATGTATGCATGTATATATGTATGTATGTATGTATATCTATGATTATTTGTACTTTAGAAATTTTTCCTTTAACGTCAAGTCAATGTCAAGAATATCTCTTAAGAGAAATGGATATATTTATATTTATATTGTGAAATATTTCAATGATATTTCAATCGATCGATACATTTAAACTTAGCTATTATACGTATCGTTAATGATAACATAGAAATTTTTATAAACGTTCGAACTGTCGAATTTGGAATATTTTGAATGTGAAAAAAAATTATATAACGTATTTGATTGTAGGATAATTATCGACTTTATCGAATATCTCCTATTAATATTGTCAATAATTTAAACGTTTTTCATCGTACGAATTGTTTTAATCTAAAAAGTTTTTTTTATTTACATTCCTTCGATCTTGAAGTATCTTTAGGGGAAAAAAAAAAAGATTCTACGATAATTTTGTATCTCGAATTACAATAACGATATATTTAATCGATCAATAGAACTTGTACTATCTGATCCTACTATATTTCTTGAAATTGATACACACACATATACACATACTATATATATATATATATATACATATATAATCTTCAATGTTAAATTCGAATGACGATCAAAAAAAAAAAGAAATATAAAACAAGAAATTCATTCAAAATATAATCTCCTGCAGGATATTGACATTCAAGCAAAAAAAAAAAAGAAAAAGAAAAAGAAAAGAAAAATGAAGAAAAAATAAATAAAAAAGAAGAAAGGAAAAAGAAAAATTGTTTTCACCGATAGTATAAGCGACAAAAGAGAAGTAAGTACCAAATGGTTGTACGCATATTGGCCTTTAATTCGATTTGATCGCCAAACAGGTAGAGGTACGCTTTTACGAATGCGACTGGCATTGTCTCCCCTGGTAGGTGGGAGGACCGAATATGGTGCTCGGCTTCGAAGATGAGTACGAGCGATGAGACGACTGCTCAGCGAATAAGGACGTGACGTGGCCATATATCCTTGCATATAAGGGAAACATATTTTTCTGTTAATAGTCAATATGCATTATAGTGAGAAAGACAATGAGCGGATCTTCGATGCCCGCACACGACGATGACGACGAAGATGACGTCTCCTTTGTCTCCAGATGATGCGACGATCATTGATCCTTTTCTTCTTTTTTTTTTTTTTTTTTTTCATTCTTTTTTTTTTTGTTGTTTTGAATAATTTCGAAGTCAAAGGATGTTGATTAAAAAAAAAAAAAGAGAGAGAGAAAAGGGGAAACGAAACAAAAAGAAAAAAAATACATAAGAAAAAATGTATAATACATGAAATCATCGATCGTAAGGGATGAGTGAGAAAAGAATTAAGTTCAGATTAATATTATAAACAATAATCGAACTCGAGATATAAAAGATTTATATGTTTGTTCTATATGTACCTAGGTATATATATATATATATATATATATATATATATATATATATATTTCGTATACGTACATACCCATATGTATATCTATGTACATAGAAAAATTTATGCGAGGCCCGTCTGTCTTAAAGGAACGCTATAAAAGATTTAACGACGAGCGACGAGATAGTGGGTCAACGAATTCGATCGAGAGATTCGAAAACGCGTCCGAATAGAAGCCGAAGCCACCTCGATTGGCAGCGAGCGGTGTGTCGTGCGTGTGCACGCGCTACTGTAAGAGGAAGAGAGAAAAAGAGAGAAAGAGGCACAGTAACTGTTGAACATTCAAGAGAGCGAGAGAAAGAGAAAGAGAAAGAAAAAGAGAAAGAGAAAGAGAAAGAGAGAGAGGAGTCGAGGAAGAATGGTACGATGAAACAAAAGAGAGAGAGAAAGACGGGAAAAGAACTTTGGATGCGTCGCACGATTCGCTACGAAATCTCGGATTCTATTAGCGGAGAAATTATAACGGATTGACGGACGCAGGAATGGATGCACGATTGGACGGATGAACGCAGCCGACAACGACGACGACTACGACGACTACGACGACGACGATTACGACGACGACGACGACGACGACGACGACGACGACGGCGACAACGAAGACGAAGACGAAGACGAAGACGACGAACGCAGCAGTTCGTCGGGAGAAGGATTTCTCCTGAATCGTAAATACCGATCAGTCGACTACGCGATACCGTCTCATTCTTCCTTTGCTTCCAACTTCTTTCTTTCTTTCTCTCTCTCTCTCTCTCTCTCTCTCTCTCTCTCTCTCTCTCTCTCTCTCTCTCTCTCCCTTTTACTCTTTCTCTTTCTCTCTATACGCACGACATCGCATGTTAAAGTACTTCCCGGTGCACTTCTGGATCGTTGCAACGAGAAAATCTGTAACCTCTTGGTTGGCCCAGTCCATCTCGATTACGCGGTAAAATTTAAATTTAATCCGTGCATCGAGTTATATTTTTCATTGAATATACTTCCTTCGTTTATATATATATATATATATATATATATATATATATATATATATATATATATACATATCTTTCGAACTTGGAATTTTTCGTTGAAGATTTCTTTTTTTCTTTTCTTTTCTTTCTTTTTTTTTTTTTTTGTTAAAGTCTTTCGTCCCCTATAGAATTTATGCGGATCGTTGAAACGATAAAAAATCTGCGAGATCTTGTTTGCATCTCGATTGCGCGCCAAATTCAAATTTAGTCCATGTACCATATATCATGTTAGATTTATTTCGTTGAAAATTTTCTTCTTTTTATATATATATATATATATATATATATATATATATATATATATATATCTTTCGACCTCGTTGAATTTATGCGAATCTTTCTATATCATGATGAAATCTGATTGGCTCGATTCATCTCGATTGCATCCCATAGACAAATATATTTTTGATTGAAAATATATTCTTAAACTATTTCCAAATCATAGAAATTATCTTAATAATGATATATTGTTTAATAATTATTTATTAAACAAATGATCGTTAAGATAAATCTTCTAGTTAATCCGGCTCATTTCGATTACGCGGCAATATTTAAATTCGTTTGGTCTACGTATCAAATTAGATTTTGAATGGAAAACATTTTCAATTTTCTTTTTTTTTTCTTTCTTTTTTTTTTTTTTTTTTTTTCAAAAAAATTATCTTAATAATGATATGTTGTGTAACGATTATTTAAACGAATGGTTATTAAATGAAATGTTCACTATTATGGTCCGTTCCAATTTGAAAAATAATATATTAAATATTATAATTGATATGGTTAATAATATGTTGACTGTTATGATTGTAGACATTAACAATATACTGTATCTCAACAGTATAAGATCGTTGTGACATCTGTTAACGCTTATTCGCACTACACTTTCTTACTCTATCTTTTAAATCTTCCTACAATTGTTTTATTTTTTCCCCACTCCCTTTTATCGATAAATATTTTAATTGCAATAATGCACAATCAACATTATGGACAATTTTATATGATTTTCTTAATTTTGTTGCTCGTTCGAAGATCCGTTCGATGACAAAATTTTTATAAGTAAATTGTCCACATATTCTTTACATATATATATATATCGATGAAAAAAATCAAACGAATCTAAAAAAAATTTATTATTACTTACTCATGATGAAATTAAATTTTATTCTTGTTGGCCCAAATATCTTGATTTCCTCTGATTACGAATTCGTTGTCAATTCACACCATAATTAATCGTCGATCCACATCATAATTAATCGTCGATTCACATCATAATTAATCGTCGAATCACAACATAATTTATGAAAAGTAATTAACGACGACCTTAAAAAAACGGAAAAAAAATCACTTGAGTAAAACATTGTAAAAATAAATTAATTAATAATACGTTTTATTTTTTTAACATTAAGAATTTGTGTGTGCATATACGAATGATTATACGAAGATAAATGATAGAAAAAATATACGATTCGCGATTATAATATGCGTATACGATATATATTGAAATATAATAATTTAATAAAAATCACGATATAAAGAGACAGAAAAACTATGATAGAATACACAATGAAGTCACAGATCTGAAACGATTATTCTATTCACTTTCGATAATCAAAATACTTTCGATTATCGAAAGAATATCGACCGGTCGTGCCCCCTATTAATTTTTACGATACCTTTAATTATTACACTTTATCATCTTTTCTCTTTTAGAAATTAAAATTAATTTCTTATATGTATTATGAATGCATGCTCCACCTGGCGTCTTTTTATTAAAATAAATTTCAAGTTTTAAGATGATATATGTATACCGATGGTAGTATAAGTTGTAAAAAAAATCTGTGGAACATTGAAAAACTTGAAGAACGTTTAATATCTACCGATCGAAAATGATGTTCTCTTTCTTTTCATTTGGCACATAAAATCATAATCGACGTTAATGTTTCACATTTTTATTAGATAATAAAATGGAAATTTTATATAGTACGTAATATAGATATATATTAACAATTTTTATTATTTATTTTTTTATTTTTTCTAATCTTAAACATATATATATATATATATATATTATAAAATATGTTAAACACACCAATTAGGTTATATCTTATTTATATTTTTTAGGTTAGAAAAAATTTTAATAATATATACATGTATATTTATTAATTTATTCATTTCAGTAAATCATGTGGTCGACTAATTCCAAAGGACGATATGGATTGTTACACCTGGATTTAAACAATAACAATGAATCGTTGAGTATAATAAATTAAGAAAAAGTTCGTCGTTATTTATTTCGGTGAATAAATTGCCAAGTAAAAGAGGGGAAAATAAAAGATTTGCGTCAAATAAAATAAGCATGATTCAAAGTGTACGCCATCGCTTCCGATAATTACGATCCAGTTACTACTGGAGTCAATATTGCTACAAATCTGACACAATCAGGATGAAATGGACGGTAATTATTTCATTGTACACATTTTAATATGAATTATTTTAAGCTAATAGTAATAATATTATTTAATATATAAATAATATTATATAATAATAATGTTAATATTATTATCATTGTTGTTATTATCATTTTTAATAAATTTATTTTGAAAATTATTTATAAGCTACAAGTACCATTTATGATCATCCGGATGTTTGTAACATCGCAGAATATATAAAAAACAAACTTTACTTTGCAACTTTGAAAAATGAACGATTGGAACCAAGAAAAACAGAGAATATAAACTTTTTTAGTATCGACAACGAGCTCGTTTATAATAATTTTTACAACGACTTTGGGCCTCTGAATCTCGCGTGTTTGTACAGGTTAAAAAAAAGATTTGTAACAATTCTAAAGAAATATTAAAAAAAAAAAATAATAATAAAGATATTTCTTAAAACAGATACTGCTATAAAGTTAACAAAAAATTAAATAATCCAATAAATAAGCATAAACAAATCGTGCATTATACTTCAAAAAGTGAACGGAAAAGGGCAAATGCCGCTTATTTGATTGCCTCCTATGCCATTTTGTATTTAAATAAAACTCCTAAAGAAGCTTACAAACCTCTCGTCTTGAAAAACGAATTAGTATCATTCAGACTTTTTCAAGATGCATCTTTGGGACCGTCAATTTATAACATTCATTTACTTGGTAATATTTTCCTTCGTTATTTATTACTATACTTGGAACGACCATAATAATCTTAATCCTGATCTAATTCAATTCTAATAATAATCTAGATTGTTTAAATGCTATTTACAAAGCCGCATTGTTTGGCCTATTTAATTTTGATGACTTTGATTTAATCGAATACGAAAAATATGAACAATTTCAAAATGGTGATTTAAATTGGATGATACCACAAAAATTATTGGCCTTTGTTACCCCAAGTACAGAAAATAAAACGATATATCATCCACCACAATATTACATAAATTACTTTCTAAACAATGGCGTTGTTGCTGTTGTAAGATTGAATACAAAAACTTATGATTCTAACAGGTAAATAATTTTTGGCGATTTACAAAAAAAAAAAGAAAGAAAAAATTTATCCCAATGTAAACTAAATCAACTGATTTATACATGTATACCTTGAATAATAATAATAATAATAATAATAATAATAATAATAATAATAATAATAATAATAATAATAATAATAATAATATATTTATAATTGTTATTATCCAATAGTTTTACAAAAGCAGGAATATCGCATTACGATATGTTTATGCCAGATGGTACGGTACCACCAAAAAGAATTCTCTGTAAATTTCTTCGACTGGTGGAAACTACAAATGGTGCCATTGCTGTCCACTGTAAAGTGAATATCTTTCTAAAATATTTATCTACATTTTTATTTATTCTATTTATATAATATAAATAATATATTATATTATATATTTATAAAATAATATATAAATAATATATAATAAATATTATATATTATATACGTAATATTATATTATATAAATAATAGAATTAGCACGAATAAGAAAAAAAAATATTAAAAAGGCACTCGTACCTGGAGAGAAAGCATTTTGTACTAATATTAATCTAATAATTTCTAAAAAGAAAAAAAAATCAATATACTTTGGTATATGTAATATATGTTCATAATGTTGCGCATAATTAGGCAGGATTGGGCAGGACAGGTTCTCTGATAGCAGCGTATTTAATAAAGCATTATAATATGACAGCCAAAGAAGCTATAGCTTGGACACGAATTTGTCGATCTGGCTCAGTTATTGGACATCAACAAGCTTGGCTAGAAAACATACAATATAGTCTTATGAATGCGGGCCAACAATATAGGTACAACATATATATATATATATATATATATATATATATATATATATATATATATATATATATATATATATATGTATATATGTATATATGTATATATAGAGTCAATGATTATAAATGTAATCTAAATCAAAAATATAAAAAAGCCAATTCATTGCGTAATTCGTATAATCAAATAATTTACATATGAATAATTAATAATTAATAATAATAATAATAATAATAATAATAATAATAATAATAATAATAATAATAATAATAATAATAATAATAATTAATTCGTATAATTAGATGATTTTAATACGAATTATGCAATAAATTATTCTTATTCTTTTCTTTTTAATTTTTGACTTGTTTTAGATCGCAAATTTTCATAATTACCGGCTAATATATTTTTGACTGCTATTAGAGTGAATAGAGAATTATATATAAATAAAATAGCAAATATATGATAACATTGTATTACAGACTTAAGTATCGTGGGGAGAGCGACATGGTATTACATCACAGACGAGGAATATATTCCATCGTTAATAAATTAGAGAATAATAAACGTGACCATCTTCAAATTGATTATCCTAATTGCGATCACCGAAATAAATATCCAGGCAAGTATTTCATCGTTCTTATAGTTATATTATTTGAATCCGTGAAAGCTCTTCTTTTTTTCTTTCTTTCTTTAATATGCGCCTAAGGAAAATGATGGAAGACATTGTAAAGTTATAATTTACAGAACTTTAGCCTGTCGAAATTGCGAATATAATTGCATTATTCTCTAAATATATTATGTAGATATATTTTATATATTTCGTTAAATACCGGCATGTGATTAAAAACTGCTTACTATATATTTTTAATTAAAAACTACTACGTACATCTAAATTAGAGGATAATAGTAAATAAAAATAATAGAAAAGAAAAAAAAAAGATTATGCTAATAATATAATTGTGCTATAGAGAAAGCTTTTGTGTCTTTATTTTAGGATCAAGAGATTACTGTGACTTACCTACGGATAAAGTAGACAAATCTAAATTATCGCAAATATTAGGTAATTATTATATAGCGTGAAGTATTTGTAATTCGTTAAAGAAGTATGATAAGAAAATGATATTTTCTTTTACTGATCGATTATTATAAATACACAAACATATATATATATATATATATATATATATATATATATATATATATATATATATATATATAATATATATTTTTTTTTTCTTTTTTTCTTTTTTTTTTTTTCTATGTATTCCTGTATATATAGGCAAGTTACGGAATGGTACGATGAACACAAATACAGCATCTCACGATCGAAAAAAGATACTTAATAAAAAGGATTTAATTAAATGTTGTTGGAAATTAAATGATCTGAACGCTTCTTCGACACAAGGTGACAAATTAAATAAAATTAAAATAATTCGAGGAACAAATTTGCGGAATATGAAATCTGAGGTGGGAAACAAAAACGTTTTTTCTGTTGAAACTGCAACTTCGTAAAAAAAAAAAAAAAAAAAAAGAAAAAAAAGTTAATATATATTAAGGAAAATAACGATAATATTGCATAAAATATATGATAATAAATACCTGTTTTGTTATTTTGTTACTTTAGCGTGTAAGTATGCGCTTTTTATAGGTATAAAAACAAGCGATCGTTTGTTTTCTTTTCTTTTTGTTATAAAATTGTATAACAGACAACGATACTTCCGTAATGAAACACAGTTTTGTAATAATATAAAACAGAAAAGAAATGATTATAATTTCCTCTTTTTGTACTTTTTCATCAGGGTAATTATCACTTCATTAGATTACAATAATTATCGAAGACCGTTTTAACGTATAGAATTTCTTTCTCGTAAGAAGAAACTTATGCACACTTGATATTATATTTTCTCACTATTAAAAAAGATGTCGTGCACCTGAATATGTAGGAATGTCTTTTTTCATTTTTTTTCTCTCTTATCTTTTTTTTTTTCTTTTTTCTTTTTATTTGCTTTAAGTTCTTTTTGTTTCTTTTTTTTTCGTTTTTTTTTTTTTTTTTTTTTTTTTGAAGATCAATATTATTTTTCCTTTCTTTTTTCTCTTTGTCCTTTTTTTTTTTCTTCTAATGTCCACTTTATAAATATCACGAACCTCGAGAAGCTGCTGCATGCTTTGTGATGCAAGCGAACAGTAAAATTGGTCAGAAGCATTCTTATGAAGAAAAAAACAAAAAAAAAATGAATGTGATTCGTGAAAAAAATTCCTTTTTCGTGATTTTATATATGATGCCATACAAAACAAACTATTCGTACTAATTAAAATAAGAAAGAGAGAGACTTCTTACAGACACAAAAGATTAAAAAAAGAAACATATAGAGATTAAAAAAGATGGAGAAAGAGTTATTGAGATATTATAATTACATATATATATATATATATATATATATATATATATACATATATATATATTATATATACATATATA